TAGCGCTGAATAAATGTAGGCCGGAAACAAAATCTCATTTTTCGTTCGATTCTAGGCCAAACACAATTCAAGAACTTCGTAGACTAGCTACAAGAGTTACAAGTGCCGTCAGGGCGGAAACTCGATATTTTGGACCGACGATTTTCACACCACAATTTCACACACCCCCACCCCAAATTATTCCTTCTCAGAGACCCCGACAACCTTTTCCCCGTCGTAACGACTCCAACGATCTCAGGAATAGACCCGCCGAAAGAATCATAAAATGTTTTCGTTGCAATCAGGAAGGACATTTAGCCAGAAACTGTAGGAGCTCTTTAAACTGGTAAATGACATCGACGAGGGGGCCCGGTGTCATACAAAACTCGCGACCATCCCCAACAAAAACAAAATGGAAGCCGTAGACTTAAGTGGTAAGTTGCCATTTGCTCATGTTACGTTCGACAGCTCAGTAAAATGCATTGCTTTGATCGACTCTGGTAGTAGTAGGTCATTAATTAGTAAAGAATTATTCAATATGTTGAAAGATAAACAACTGGTGTCAAATGTAAATAAGGTAAGTCATTCTATGGGTACTGCGTCACAGCACAAAATCACCGTCAGATACGAAGCTACAATTCATTTGAAATTAGGCGATTTTTCCTGGAACTACGAATTTTGGGTCGTAAATCAACTGCCGTTCAAAATGATTTTGGGTTACGATTTCATGACTTTCACAAGGATGTCAATAGATTTGAATAAGTCAATAATAAAATTCAACTTTGCTGACAACGAACATTCTCTTTGTTTAGTAGGCGAAGATGAGATTCCACGTTGCGAAAAACAAGATTTAGGCGATTCTCCCCTCACTCCTGAACAGAAAACAAAATTTGACGATTTGTTATACAGCTTTAACGACGTCATAACAAATAGAATAGGCACAGCGAAAACAGAACCGTATAAAATCAAGTTCAGCGATAACATCGTTCCGTTTCGTCAGAGACCTTATCATTTACCACCTGATAAGATGGTTATTATGAGAGAGACAATACAAGAGTTATTAGATCAAGGTGTCATTGAAAAAAGCGTTTCTGAATTCAGTTCAAGTGCATTTCTACGTCCAAAGAAAGAAGCTGGTAAGTATAGGCTAGTTGTCAATTACAAGGAGCTAAACAAATACATCGAAATGGATAGTTTTCCGCAGCCCGAAGTTGATAAGATTTTTCAATATTTTAAAGGTGCTAAATATTTTACTACGCTCGATTTGAACAACAGTTACTATCAGTGTTTGTTATATCCTGACAGTCGAAAATACGCAGCTTTCAATGTAGGGTACGCATTGTACCAACCACGAACTTGTCCCCAGGGTATTAAAATAGGTAGTCAGGTACTAGGCAGAATTGTCGACGAGGTGTTAGGAGATCTGAAGTTTAAGTGCGTCGTCAATTTTGTAGATGATCTTTGTATTTATAGTCCAGATCCAGAGACACACTATCGCGATCTGAAACAAGTTTTACAACGATTGCGAGAAGCCGGCTTGACTGTGAAACCAAGCAAGGTCACTTTAGCGAAACGCGGCATTCGATTTTTGTCACACGTCGTCAAAGACGGAAAATTGTATGTCGACGAAACCAAAGCCGAAGTGATTAGTAACTTCCCGCGACCACGAAATTTAAAAGCAGTTCAACGATTTTTGGGAATGGCAGCGTATTACAGGAAATTCATTCCAGATTTTTCCAGTGTTAGTCGTCCACTCAATATGCTAAGGAGGAAAGGTGTCCGTTTTAAATGG